GGAGTGGCAGGCGAGTGAGCGCGGGGAGTACGCGGGGAGTGAGCGGTCACGCGAAGGGGCAGTGAGGACGGGGCAGTGAGCCGCAGGCAGTGAGGCGAGTGGGCAGTGGTAGCGCGGCCTCGATGGAGTGTAGGCGGGGGAGTGAGGCGGGGATAGTCGAGTGCGGGGGAGTGAGGCGGGAGTGAGGCGGGCGGGAGTAGAGGCCGGGGGAGGTGCAGGGGCGGGGGAGTGGAGGCGGGGGAGTGAGCGCGGGAGTGACGCGGTGAGTTGAGGCTGGCGGGCAGTGAGGCGGGGGTAGTGAGGCGGGGGAGTGAGGCGGGGACGTGAGCGAGGGAGTGAGGCGGCCGGCCGGTGCAGGCGGGGAGCTGAGGCGGCGGGAGTGGAGGCGGGGGAGTGAGGCGGCGGGAAGTGCACGGCGGGGGAGTGAGGCGGACTGCGCCCAAACAGCAGCGGCGAAAAGCGCCGGCCCGAGGAGGACTGTGGTTAGGCGGCCGCGCGCAATGCATAGCGTAACCTGCGCGCGCAGCGGCTCGTGACGGGAACGCAGCTTGCCGGCTCAGAGCCAGGAGCAACCCACCCTCTCCTCAGCTCCAGATCGGCTTCCGCCCGCCTCCGCCACTCCGCCTGCCCTTCCCCATCGCTTTCCTCTTCTTCCTAAAACCCATCCTGACCTCCTCGCCATTCTCTCTCCTCAACCACGTCTACGTCTATCGCAATGAATATAATGAGTGCTTCGCTGTCCAAACTCGGTGCATAAGAGGACCGTGATTCAAAGTCTTCCGCCCCAAACGGCGCCAAAAGACCGCCGAAAAGACAGTGCGCTTCCCTCAAACCGGAAAAACTGTAGCTTGCGCCCACGCAACCACGAGGCAGGGTTTTCCTTCACCCACTCAGGCCGTGATTTTAACTGTTGCAGAAAATCTATTTCCTCTTTGTTTCAAAAACTCAGATTTACCGCGCCAAACAAGAGTTCGCCCCATTAAGAGAACGCCTAAAGAAACGCAGGGGCAATGTTTTCAACCGGCACACGTTGACCACATCTCCTCTAGACATGCAAGCAATCTCTATACAACCTCCTTTTGATCTGCTATCGAAACGCGCTTCCTGCTTCTTCTTCTTCTTCTTCTTCTTCTTCTTCTTCTTCTTCTTTTTCTTCTTCTTCTTCTTCTTCTTCCTCTTGCCCACTTCTCCGCCTCCGTCGCTGCCTTCGCCGGCGCCTCCGTTTCCGCCGCCGCCCCCTCCTTCCCCTCCCTGGGGGCGTGGGGCCGTCGTCCGCCCCGCGCCCAGTGGTTGGGCTTTTCCACTTCGACAGCGGGCTTTGTCGAGAGTCTCTAACCTTGCCAATATATCAGCAGGACCGAATGGTACCATTGTATCGGAAGTAATTGAAGGAATGCAGTTCTTACATACTCGCTGTCGCGAATGTGGTCGTCTTTCTTTGAGAGTCAATAAAATGTATATTGGTTGTTGATATTTTTAGTAATTTTCAAATCAGTACTATGTGGTTTCATTGAATTACTGCAGCTGTCCAAGCAACAACAAATGCTCGATTGAAATGTCACAGACAGTAGGAACTTTTGGAGGATTTTCATGCGAATTACTACACATTTGGCGAAATTATTCATATTAAAAAGTCTGTACTCGTTAGATTCTTTATTAATTTTTTCGCGAATTCAGTCGGACGTAATTCACACTGCCTCATAATTTTTACAGTTTATAGGTAGTATCGTTTGTGCATACGTTTTTCACAATTTCAGTTTTATTACTATTTTTGTTATACATGATACTGTCAATAAAATAATGTATAGTTTGACAGATTTTTTAAAACCGTTGCTTTATTTAATTTAGCAAGCATATTAAATGTCCGATTACATAATAATGTGCAGATAGCACTGAGATGTTTTACTATTATTTTCCATTTCTATATGCTAAGTAATTCAAATCCAGAGCTGCCCAAACTTGTTCAATCATGTACTAATTTCCATCTCCAAATTATTCTAGATATACTTATTCAAAACTTAATAGTAAGTCAGGAGGTATCTTTTATATCTCCAAGCATGAAAGCATTTGTAATTATTTTTGTCGTTTAAATACATCGTGCGATATTGACTAGTTTCTTTTTAAAAAAGTGGTATTGCAGACGATTTATTTGATTTAAATTAGTGAAGTAATCGCCACAGTTAACATTCAAGCATCAGGTACAGAAGCTGCAGGAAGAGTTCATGTTTTGGTAATGTGACGGTGCAGCTTTCATCATGACTTTTATCTGAAAGTAGTTGCTGGGTATTATCAGTATCTTG